CTACAAAGTTTGAACTGTAAATAAGGACAAATCTGTGTTGTTGCTTAAAATCTTATTTCATGCCAAAAACAAACATACTTAAGCCATAAACTATAAAACTTTATGTTCAGAGTGTTATTTGTTTATTACCGAATAAAATTAACAGCACATTTTCTGTGTGCCGAGCAAAACTAGCCCACAACTTTAACAACATGCAGTACTTAATTTTCTCTAACATCCGTTTTTGGATTACCGTAAATTTTGATGTAAATAAAATTTTGCTATACGCTGGTTTTATATTCTTGCTTGAAAGTTCAACGATATCTTTAAGAACAAAACAATTTGAATTGCATTTAAGCCTATATTCTATGGAACTATCTATTTGGAACACCATTTTCCAGGAATCAATGCAGAAGTTAAGAAACAGACTGTAACTTTTGATCATGACAGTCTATGAGGAAAGGTGAAAGTAACCCCAGAAAAGAAATTCTGAATCTGCTACAAGAAACAACTTCCTCCATCATTATTGGAAGTTTCAACATGTAACGAGTCCAACATTAGGATTTACAACGGAGGTAGTCTACTGTAGACAAGAAGGGCTATCGGTATCGGACCGGATCGACAAACGTAGCTGTGTAGCTCTCGACGTGGTCGCTCAAGCGTATTGGTGATAGCTGTTATTTGGAATGTCAAAATATAGGTTGTCTTCTGCAGCTAAGAAATGATGCTCCTGGTCAGGGTCCAAATGACTCCGTCCTCTTGTGGTTTAGTCTGTGAATTATGAACCCTCTGCATGGTCGTTGTCAATTGTTCTCCTCAGATTCAAATTCCAAGGTGTTGCCGGCCTCGCGACGTTTTCCTCTGCTTTTCTTTGCATGAAGTCTTCTTGTGATTGCCAATGCAAATCTCCACATTCTGTACTTACCAAATTCTGGATCTCTTTCACAGCCTCGAGTCGATTTCGATACGTCTTTGCTGCATGTTCCCAAGCAGTTGAATCCTTGGTAATTGTGGTGTAGGCTTTTATCATTGCTACCTTGGTATTCAGATCGATGGTGCTACTTCGATTCATCAACAGATGGAACAGATAAATGCCCGCTCTTGTCTCATTTCCGAACGTTTCAATGAGAACTCTTCACGTCAGCTTTGCATCCATAGTCAGTCCTAGTAATAGACTTCCGTAGACCATCGAATGTCTTGTCTCTCGCCTCCGAGAAGGAATGGTCTGCACTTCGTTGAGTCGATCTTGATCTCTCAGTTGATGCAGTGTTCCAGAATCAGATCCATTTCTTGCTGGACTTTCTCCATGATCTATTCTGGGCATCTATTATGTGCGAGGATTACGCAATCATCTACGTCTAGTGCAATTTCTGTGTCCTGTGTCTTCGGAAGTGTGGTGCCACCACTGACCCTTTGTTCTCTTGATTTTGAATGGCTAATCTTCACAGTGAAGGTTCTATCTGTCTGGTGATTCTGAACTATTTTGAATTATTTGCTTGATACCGTCTTGAATCAAATTGTGGATCAGTGCATCATGCCAGGATCTATCAAAAACTCGTTCGACATCTAGCAATGGGCCCCAAACACTACGTTCTTTCTCGTAGGTTTTCATCGCCACGATGAAACACGTCGTTCCAAAACCGAAGTGTGTGGTAGAAAACCGCCGTGTTTTTGAAATTGTGTGCAAATTAACCCCTTTTCAAAAATATTTGAAAAATCTTCCCTAACAAACTTATTTCCTAAAAACAACCCTTGCCTTTTTTTTAAATAGAGCCCCATTATTATTATTTACATTTTTGATTTTTTTTTCCAACGAAACACGGAAAAACAAACTTTTTATACATCATTGAATTTGCAATTTCATGAGCTTCTCAAAAATAAACAAAAATAAGAAGGGTGCCATTAGAAAAAAAAAAAGTCAAGGATTGTATATAGGGGATGATTTTGTCAGGGGAAGATTTTTCTAGATAGAGATAGAAATAAGAGAACTAGCCATTATTCGTTTTTTTTTTTGTTTCAAATCTTTACTTCTAAAAATAAGAAAGTTATGGCCTGTAACGCTGATTGTGGGACACCCTTACATGATCCCGTGCAGCGGGGGCCTGGTTTCATGTTTCTGAGTGGATTCTGCATTCCCCAAGCAGAGTAGTTTAGTACGGTGTGTGACTTTTAGTCTGATTTAATGCAATTCTGTTCCTCTCCAAAATTCCATCTCCTTATTCTCTATGCGGAATCTCCGGTTCTCAGTGAAAATGCCTTTTATTTATCTGGGTAATTTGCCATTTGGTCTTCCCCTCTTTAATATGATCACAGCATTCTTGGTGAGCCTACGAGATGCTTGCCTGGAACATGAACCAACCAATTAGCAGATTTCGGATATTTTCTTCTCTTATTCTTGTTCCGATCGAAGATGTTCTGGATGTGAACCGAGGTATCTTCTTCAACTATTTCTTCTCGAATGTCACAGAACGTTCACTGTGAAGATTAGCCATTCAAAATCAAGAGAACAAAGGGTCGGTGGTGGCACTACACTTCCGAAGACACAGGACACAGAAATTGCACTAGACGGAGATGATTGCGTAATCTTCGCACAGAATAGATCAGGGAGAAATTCCATAAAGAAATGGATCTGATTCTGGAATAGTGCATCAACTAAGAGATCAAGATCGACTCAACGAAGTGCAGACCATCCCTTCTCGGAGGCGAGAGAGAAGACATTCGATGGTCTACGGAAGTCTAGTACCTAGGACTGACCATGGATGCAAAGCTGACGAGAAGATTCCTCATTGAAACTTTCGGAAATGAGACAAGAGCAGGCATTTGTCTTTTCCATCTGTTGATGAATCGGAGTAGCACCATCGATCTGAATACCAAGGTAGCAATGATAAAAGCCTACACCACAATTACCAAGGATTCAACTGCTTGGAAACATGCAGCAAAGACGTACCGAAATCGACTCGAGGCTGTGAAAGAGATCCAGAATTTGGTAAGTACGGAATGTGGAGATTTGCATTGGCAATCACAAGAAGACTTCATGCAAAGAAAAGCAGAGAAAAACGTCGCGAGGCCGGCAACACCTCGGAATTTGAATCTGAGGAGAACGATTAACAACGACGATGCAGAGGGTTCATAATTCACAGAGTATATCACAAGAGGACGGAGTCATTTGGACCTTGAGTAGGAGCATTATTTCCCAGCCGCAGAAGACAACCTATATTTTCACGCGGGAACATTGGCAGGCAAGGTGTGTGAGCAGAAACTCCCTTTCCGAGAGAGGCTCATCCACTATGGGAATGGTTCAATTGCCTATCTGAGAAGGTTAAATTGGATCGGGCCACTTGTGAGCAGAGTTTATTTAAAAAAGTTCATCATTTCTAGCCCTTTCAGTTCGGGAAACGTGTTGACGTGTTTTGAACTAAAGTGACCGACAGCCAGGAACCGTGTTAAAACGCCAACCGATTTTATGCCCGGATGGGAAGTGGGTGATCACGGTCTCATAAATGAATGCGCGTAGGTTCCAAATCTTAGAAAAAATTCACTTGAGACACTGGGATAGGGGAAGATCGATTCTGTTTTCTAGGATGTATTCACTTCTTTGACAACAAATAAATGTTTCCAGGGAAGTAAAATTTATTTTATTATTGAAAATGAACTAAATCAGCAAACCTTTTTGGTACTACGTCGTAGAATTCTTGAAGGTAACCGGGCGTTAACGTCACCAAAGGACGGGAGACGGGTTATCACGCAAGCTCCAAATATGCCCGTCTAGACAGCAAATCTTTGAAAATTTTGCCCATCCGGAAAGGGCCAGAGAAAAAAAAACCGCGACCTACGTGCGGGTAAGATTGTATTAATTTCAAATTAAGGATGAAAAAAATATAGCTGAATTTGAACATTTATGGTTTCTCTGACTTACCAGTGGCAAAAGATCTTGTCCTAAAACATTTCTACTCGAGTAAAATAAAAACACATGGAACCTTGCGCTATTTTTAAGATCATTTTTAGGTCACACGAGCCAGTATCGTTTATCTTAACAACCCGAATCATGGAGAATTTATTGGATAAACGTCAAGTCTGAAGCCTGGAAAAAGTGGCGATCCAGACGATCCGGCGCCAGCCAGCTTTTGTAGCTGGTTTTAAGTAGAATTTAATGTTTTTTATAGCAACAAAACATAACGCCAATACATTCATGTCGGGATTTTAAATCAAATACGAGATGGATCCTAACTCAGGTCTCCTTTTTGCCCGATAAAATATCATTATCCCTGAGAAAGGCCAAAACATTCTTTACAAAACCAACACCCTTCTCTAATGATTTTATGTTCTTTCATTGTGACACATTTTTATTAATGCCTAACGAAAATTCCTTATTTTTTTGTACTGAAAGTAGGGAAAATTTTCCTCACATTTTGTTTCAAGGCCTGGTATTCTGCGTCATAATTTGATGCATAATAAAGTACGTAATATTGTTCTTTGAGAGAATTCAGCTTGCAAAAAAATTGAATGTCCTTTCGCAAATGAGCCTAAACCAAATAAGACTCCGGGAAAAGAAGGGAACGCATTAACTACACAAAAAAGAAAACAGGGTTCCTCCCACGCCATAAGAGCCCCGCAGAAGAGTCGGTTTGTTTTCGGGCCTATATATAAATCGTAAGAGCAGCGAAATTACTCTAAAAATTACAAAATTCCAGGTCTCATAATTGAGAAGAGTATGATCGCAAACATTTTTTAGATAAATTTTTCCATGTATGAAAAATAAAGGTTTCAAAAGAAGGTAATCCTTAACTGCTAGTGTGGAAATTTGTCTTGGCTTTAGATTGCTACAATGTCTGAAGCATTACAAACTTAATTACCTACTTCAGTTTGCTTTACCTCGCGAAGTAAATTTAATTTCGATGGGAAATTGAATCCCTTTCAACCGATATTGCGGCTTCGCTTCAAGCCTATTGATGTATTAAAACCGAAATGAATTTGAAGGAAAGGCTTCACATTTTCATTTTATTCTACTTTTAAAAACTTACCTTGCTTATAGGTACAACAGCCTGGATGTCGTCTTTCTGAATCTCAAATCTAGTTGTTGATTTTCTGCCTTCTCTATGTATTTCCAAGTCTGTTTCTTCTTGATGAGGCTCAAATCTTGCTGTCCAAACTATTCTAGCGCCATCGTATATTTCTGCTGCGTCTTCTGTTACTTCAAGTAACCAATTAAAAAGTTCCATAAGTCTGAAACAAATTTTACAATAAACAAAAACAGATAGATATCGTAGCACTAGTATTTGATCATAAAATTATTATTAGGACACTGCAGATATTACGATGTTGGAATTTGTTACGATTTATTGACGCACAAACTCGTCGCTTTAGGATTGGCTAATGCAGAATTTAGATTCGTTAGTTGAAAGTAAAATCAGACAAATGTCAGGCTATCAGAATTGCATTCCCTAGCACCAGCACGCCCTCAAGAGACAATGCGGACCGGACGTGGTAAAAATTCTGATGATATTGGGTATTTTGGTTGCTAATGGGATAGAATTCTTGTGGGATTTTGATTGTAATTAAGGTTTGAATCAAAGCTTTGAAAGCGTGAAGAGCTAGCCGAACCAGATGTAAACAAAATAGAATTTACTTTAACACAAACTCCATAACTGAAGCTACTATGTTACACATTGTTTTTGTATTGTATTTTGATGTATTGTATGAGCTTCGTATTGCAAAAGGTATAACAAATTAGTCAATGACTTATTGAAACAAAAACTGCGTCTTTATTTCCATGCTCGAATATATATCACAATTATTGCGGGCAATTTCCCTTCATAACACTCTTCACAAAACGAATGGCGAATGCATAGTGCAATATCCATAAAATAGGTTCTTTTAGAGATTCTCTTTCCATTGCACAGGAGGTTGAATATGGGCGCTTGAAAGGGCTCTAAATTTTCCCCGGACTGACTGTGGATCGTTGAAACGAACGGTCGAATTTCGTCTAGTTGAACGTGTGTAATTTATCTGACGTGGAATCAGAATTTAAATTTTCCAGCATAACAATACCTAAGCTTTTGTCCTTTGGCCTCAGCATACAATAAAATCTCATTACTCATACCTCTCAATTTCAAAGAAGTTTCTAGTAGACAAAAGGCACAACAGCGCTATCTTAATTTTTTCTGAAAAAAAATTGGGAGTTTTTTAAATGAAGATATATGAAATTGTTTTTTTTTCGAAAAAGACGGAGGCTGGCGCGTTTTGTAGTTTAACGGTTTTGCAAGCCACATCAGGATATAATTGAAATTTTCAATCGTATGATTTATGGAAGCAGTACATACAATATGAATGGGCGGCGGCGGCGTTATCAGCTCTTTCGAATGTGCATTAGAGGAAATTTTTGATTTATTACGACAAGTGTTTCTTCTAATTGGCTTCGTCAGGTAGGGTGTAACCTGGTTAGCTAAAAAGGAATAATTTATACTAGAAAATACTGATTTTTCTTCCATAAAAATGCGATTGATCTCGGATAGATAGCCATAATTTTGTCGCCATTGCAAAGTAATTTATTTGTGTATATTGTTTATTAAAGTACTAGTGACATGCCTGGCAGAAACCTTTTGTTGTTAGTTAAACGTTGTGACTCTAATCTGTGTGCAATAATTCGAACTTTAGTCGCTAGCGATTATAATAGTTATTCTCATAAGGTCGTGGTTAAATGGTGTAATACATTCCGGCAGTCACTGACTGGACTTAAGATTTGCTCCATCATAGACCTGCACCTACGAGTGGCAGCATCAGATGTGAGACAGCTGGAAACTACTTGACCGGCAGGAAAAGTACTGGTCAGCCTTTTTTATGATCAACAGGGCAAACTAGTCTTAGTTTACAAACACAGTGCAAGCAGGTTTCCGCTTACCGGTAACCAGAAGAATATGGTATACCAACTCTTTTTCTTTTTAATTTAGTATGCAAATCGTCATCATCCGAAGATGACATATTTGCTAGGCTAGAAGTTCAAGACGAGACACAACTGGCAGGTGGCAGATTTAAAGTTTAAAAAGATTTTCTCGCTTTTGCAGCGCAGATCGGCGCTGCTTACCAGTAAGCGAAAAACCTGCTTGCACTGTGTTTGTACACTAAGATTTCAATGATTCTACTGACAACCTACGTATCGGCCCATCAGGATCAAGAAGAAACATCCCGGGATCAAGGAGAAATGTCCCGAACAAATCCATTTTTTCATTTCCTACTTATCCGTATGCGAGTTCCATGGTTCAATCGAAAAATTACTAAATGGGCGGCGGTCCGATTCGGATGCAGAGGAATAGTTTGCTGATGGAAAATTTGTGCAAGTAGGGAATCTATAAATAAGTGCATCTATTCCTTATGTTAATGTATAGGTACCTCTATTGGATTCGTTAAGTAAAAAATGCTCGAATCCTCTAAAGTTGTTTCTATCGGAAAACCATTATAACTCTAACTCCGTTTTTCATTTAAGAAATACACTGCGTACTTCATAATTTATCTTAAAATCATGTCAATAATTTGTGGTTAGTTTTGTGTGACGTCAGCTTTTTTTGGTAGAGATAATATAAGAAACGTTATAATAATACAATATTACTAGCACATAATTATCATTACAATCATCGGCACTAACTCACAGCTCAACTAGCATTGTTATCTATGGTTTATTTAATTGCCAAATAAACCAATTCTAGCACATCGACATTGATACCCCAGTCACCGTTAGCCGGTAGTTTAGGTAAACGAGCTTCCATCAAACGTTCTCGTTATTTCCTACGATCCTGTTTATCATCAGCATGCCTCAGCCTTTGCATCTGTAGGTGATCCAGAATTCACATCTGTAGATATAGATGACAATCTGGCATTGTAGACCGAAAACCTAGTTCCACCACTTATGTTGTAGTTCTCAATGCCCTTTTCCAGAAACGCTGAAAAGAACTTACGCCGACATTGAATTTCTGCGCCGATATTTTCATTTTTCGAAAAATGACTACCAAGATAGAGGTGCTCCATCGACAATAACAACTGGCACGGGTCCATCCGGGGTAGGTTGGAATAGGATTTTTATCATACCTTGATCTTAATTCGAAATCTACTAAGATTGAATAGCTTGCCACCATTTCTATAACTAATTTCAACGCTCAACGACAAGGTGCAGTATGGTCCCTTCGAATATCAAGAATAAGCTTGGCCAAGTCGCGTATTTACATTCCATACCATTATACAGATGAATGCCATTTTATACTGTAGTATGATTTGTATATGTGAAACGCGCGTATATTTACTCCAAATCATACCGCGATACAGATGGACATCACTCTATACCATAGTAGCAGTAGGATATGAAGTTATAATACGCGCCTATTTCTACTTTCAAACCATACCGCGACACAGAATTTTCGCAACAGTATACAATAAAATGCAGAACGCCGCCTCTCCATTTCCTAACTACGTGAGCAAAAATTGGCGGCAGTTGTTAAGCCAACCATGTGCATGTAAGTTTGCTGCATTTATAGTTGCCTATTGCAATAATTCTGTGTTCAATCAACGAAAGAACCAAATATGAATACCTTAAAGGATATTATCCACAGAGAGGATGTAATTGAAAGTTATAATTACGTTAGTTGCAGTGACTACAGTGTTATTATAAGAAGCGAGGATCATCATAAAGATAAGAAAAATAATGAATGGAGTGACGATTGGATTCGCAATTTTGGCGTTGGCACCACAACAAACTGGATTGTTCGAAATACTTACCCATCACTGAAAAAGTTTGAGTACAAGAAAGTGTTTGATGGCTGTTTGCACCAATCATTTCAAGGAAGCCTTAGCGATAAGTATTTCTTAAAGTGACATTTCTCCATGTAAAAATGTCATTTTAAGGAATACTTATCGCTAAGGCCTTCTTAAAATGTTCGGTGCAAACGGCCATAAGTGTCACCACAGTAGCAGAACTTAAAAATTGTCCCACTCGAATAAGGAACAAAAGATGTGATGCCAAAATTCAGCAGAAATTCAGGCTGGCAGGCCATTAAAATTCGAAGGCGGTGTTTGAAAAATCTGGAAGCGAATATTGGATTGAATCAGAGTATCTAACCAAAATTACCTTTTATACTACCTATAAAGTTTAATTTTTTTTTTCTTCTTAGCTTAAAAATAGCGTATATAAAATAAAGATAAATTACTTTAATCGATTGAGAAGGTAGGTACCTAGTTATTCATTTGGTATCGTGGTATGATTTGGAGTAGAAATAATAGACGCGTATTGTAATTTTGTATCCTATGTTATAGATTGACGTCCATTTGTATCGCGGTATGATTTGGAATAGACATACGTGCGCTTCACAGATACAAATCATACTACGTTATAGAATGGAATCCATCTGTATAATGGTATATAACGTAAATACGCGGCCGGATCCATTATTGATGAGGACAGTGCCTTTCATGATGTCATGCAATCAATATTTTCTAGAGAGCTTTTCGATCAACAGAGTAATCACATGTTTTGACAACGTGTAAAAATGCCATACAGGGGTTTCGTTCTTTCTTTGCACTGAAAATTATGTCCACCATCCTTCAAGGTCTTAAGTCACACTATGTTTTGACTAGAGTTGCCTGAGCTAAGTCGATTGGTAAAAATCCTGGCAGGAATTTTTTCGGTTGTTGAGAGTAATGATATTCCTCGGTAATTTCCACAATGTACTTTGTCGTCGTTTTAAAATATAGTGACGATAGAGGTGTCACGCAGATTTGTGGATATCCTCTTGATGATCCATCCATGCATGGTCGCCTACCTTGGGAAGCTTAGCATAGACTCCGGCTTACCCAGTAGCTGTAATATTATTCAGTTTCGAGTGGGTGCTTGAGGAACTTTATTGGAGACATTATTAAATCCGCGTGACTCTCAGTTTGAGAGTTCCTGAAAATGGTCCTTTGCTCGGGACCTGGAAGAAGCAGGATCTTTAGGATGTTAAGTCTAATCCGGAATCTCAGGGGATTTGGACCTTTTGTGTTCAGTATTTAACTTGTTTACATCATTTTGGCGGTAGTGGTAGCTTTCACGTCACGTCGGTCTTTGGCTCGAACAAATAACGTAGTCGATGAGATGCCGGTATTTTAAAGGGGGTGTGCGCCAAAAATTAAAGTTTAAGTGTAAAAAAATCTAAGAATAACTGTTCAAACCTCGTTATTCTACGATAAACCATCGCTGAGAT